ATAATGGGTGACTGGAATGCAAAAGTCGGGAACAAAGAGGAAGATTCAGTAGTTGGAAAACATGGACTCGGTGACAGAAATGGAGCTGGAGAGAGAGAAACACAACATACATGGCTTATATAAAAGTACAGGTTTATATAGCTCAAGGAATATTTATATAGTTATTTAATGCTTCAGTTTTATGTTCTTTGTTATGTACCAGTGGTCAGGATATAAGGAGATGTATAGCACTGGGAAAAATCTGCAGTTAGTGACCTCTCCAAATTATTGAGAAGTAATGACGTCAGTTTTAGGATGAAGGTGCGCCGGATTCAGGCCATGGTCTTTCCAGTAACAAGGTGTGCATCTGAGAACTGGATAATGAATAAGGATGACAGAAAAAGAATTGATGCCTTTGAACTCTGGTGTTGGAGAAGAACACTGAACATCCCAGGGACAGCCAAGAAAACAAACAAATACGTCATGGAGAGGGTACAGCTGAAGTGCTCTTTGGAGGCAAGAATGATGAGGCTTCACCTCACATATTTTGGACATGTTGCTAAGAGGGTCTCTTCCTTGGAGAAGGACATGATGCTTGGGAAGGGCGGAGGGTCGGTGAATGAGAGGAAGACCCTCAACCAGATGGATTGACACGGTGACTGCTGCAATGTGCTGCTGTGTGTCAGAAAGTGTGAAGATGGCACAGGATAGAACTGGGCTTAGATTTTTTGTTCATAAGGTCCCTATGAGTCGTACTTGACTCAACGGCACCTGACAACAACATGTTATTTGGTGGATAAACCTAGTTTCTTCAGTATCCTTTTATTTGCCAAAATCAAAGTTATAAAGGATGTTATTTTAAATTTATGATTGTTGCTTTGTGATATATTTTCTTTGTCCCTTTGAAAGATAACTTTTAAAAAAGGTTTATAATTTCTTCCTGTGATTTTTAAAAAAAATTATTTCTTTATCTAGAGTAATGAATTGCGAATATAATAAAAGACAAGTGTTGTTCCCATATACATGATGGCATTTCTTTTCAGGATGGTTAGCGGTAATAGTTGTGACAGAATTTGATAAAATTTTCTTCTTTTTCTCTAGGTGGTTGGTCCTAGCTATTGCCATGGTACGTTTTTACATGGAAAAAGGAACACACAGAGGTTTATATAAAAGTATTCAGAAGACACTTAAATTTTTTCAGACATTTGCCTTACTTGAGGTAAGTTTCTGACACCTAATTTTCTATTTTAATATTTATTTGAAATTTTACTTCTTGAGCAGAATCAGTCAGTTTCCTGAATGCATTGTACTTATGGATTCATTTAATACCATTGTTAAGAGGGATTTATTTTTATGTTTTATGCTTTTGACTTGTGATTTTATTTTTCTTCTTTGCTTGCAGATAATCCACTGTTTAATTGGTGAGTTTTATCTTTAATCTTCATTTTTGGCATAAGTTGCCTTTAGAGCAGTGGCTGACTTGTTTTTCTCTTTAAGGAATTGTCCCAACTTCTGTGCTTGTGACTGGGGTCCAAGTGAGTTCAAGAATCTTTATGGTGTGGCTCATCACTCACAGTATAAAACCAGTAAGTGACAAGAACACATTTTTTTTTCATTTACGCTTCAGGTAGGCTTTCTATTAAAACTCATTGCTTTTGAGCCAGAACCAACTCAAAAGCTGATCCTCCAGCAGGTTTTCAGAGACTGTGAATCACTTAGGAGGAGATTTCCTCATCTTTTGCCTGAGGAGCAGTTGGTGGCTTCAAACCACCTGGCTTAGTTTGGCAGCACAACCCCTACCCATATGGCTACTAGAGTGCTCTTTTTTATTATTAGGAACCCAAGATTAACATAGGTATATTTCAGGAAACAGGGCCATGGGACCAAAAATAGATTCCAAGTTAAGTGTGATTGTACTCTGACTAGTGGAATGATAGTGAAACATGTTATTATTAGGTGCTGTCAAGTCAAGTACATAGTGACCCTGTGAACAACAGATCTGAGCCTTGTCCTATCCTATACCCTCTTCTTGATCCCTTACACATTTATCTGTTGGCTGCAGTCATCGTGTCTGTCCCTCTCGTTGAGGGTCTTCCTTGCTTTCACTGACCCCCCCACCTATCTTATCATGATGACTCTATCCAAGGAATAGCTTCTCCTTGTTACATGCCCAAAATGTGTGAGATCAAGTTTTGCCATCCTTACCTCTAAGGAGCACCCTGAATGCACCTTTTCCGAGACACATCTGTTTGTTCTTTTGGCAGTCCATGGAATATTCAGTACTCTTTTCCAGCACCACAACTCAAAGGCATCAGTTCTTCTTCTGTCATATTTTATTCATTGTTCAGCTCTCAGATGTATGGCAAGTGATCGGAAAGACCATGATCTGAATTAGGCACACCTTAATCTTCAAACTCACATCATTGCTCTTCAGTAATTTGGAGAGGTCCCTGTCTGCAGACTTTCCCAGTGTAATACATATCCTAATCTCCTGACTGCTGGTACAAAGGTGTTGATTGTGGATCCAAATAAGATTAATTTGGTGACAGTTTCAGTCTTCTCTCTATCTACCATGGTGTTGCTTATTGGTGAGGATATTTATTTTCTTAATGTTGAGATGTAATACATGTTGAAGGCTATAGTTTTTGATCTTCTGCAGCAAGTCTTTTATATCCTCCCTTTCAGCAGTGTTGTATCATCTGTTTAACATAGATTGTTGCTAATCCCGATAGGAAATTCTTCTTCATAAGGGTCCAGCTTTTTAAATTATTTGTTCATTTTATGGATTGAATGACTATGTAGAAAGGATACAACCCTGAACCACACCCTTTCTGGAATCATAGAACACTTAATTATGCTCACATGAAACTATACCTTAACTAGGGTCCAAACAGCAAGGGAAGAACTGCATGTTTTAGAATCAGGAAAGGTGTCTCTCAGGGTTGTATCCTTTCTCCACACATATTCAATCTGTTTGAAACATAGGTAGAGTCTAGTGTTAGTGTTTTATTAGGTTTATTCATGTTTTAAGATGCTAAACTTTTATAGTTTCTAAAATTAATATAAAGTCAAATAGCTACCTGAAAATTTATTTAGTATTGAAGTTATGGGTACTCTTTTTGAATGTATAGTTAAAAAGTCATCAAAATAAGTAGTTTATTTTCATCGTTTACCATTGACAATTGTAGCATCAAACTTAAAACAGATGAAGAAGATATAGTTCTGTAGATAAAAACAGATGAAGAAGATACATTTCCGTAGATAGAAACAGATGAAGAAGACTGAAAGTTAGAAAGTTTAAGGAGCTTAGGGATAAATGAACTTCTTATTTATTGAAGCATGAATGGAGACAAATCTGAACCTAATTAATGCCTTAAACTTTTTTGGGCAGGGCACAGGCTTCATGCTATGTCAGGATATTGGCCTTATTAAATGCATGACAGAAGCATTTCCCAGACCAACTTTTCAGATCTTCTTGACAGCCTTTGCAGCCTCCTTTCTCCTTGAGGACAGCTTTCTGGCTGCTTTTCCCCTTCCTCAGATGCCTTTCTTACTCTCTTCTGCTCAGGGACTGACATTTAACCTTTTTGCATTTCCTGCTAGACTTAGCATTGTTCTGTCTGCATGGGGACAGATCACTGACTTTCTGCCCTTTCTCTAGTCTGTACATCAGCATTCTTTCCAATATCTTTCAAATTAGTTAATCCATTTGGTTCCTCACCAGTGACTGTCATGCTGATAGAAACAAGAACGTGGCATACAGAAAGCCTTACTTTTTAATGAGTTATCTCAGAGTTTAGAAACAAGAGAGCAACATTAACAAAATAAAAAACAGACTATTAAAAAAGACAGTTAATTTAATGGCTGAACTAGGACCACAGTGAGTCTGAAGACTGAAGGAGAAGAAAAGAAAGATAAGGCTCTCGGACTGACTAGAGAGCAGACGTTACAGAGAAAGTAGAATGTGACTTAGCACAGGGCTGAGCAGCATTTCGTTCTGTTTAAGTGTAAATAAAGTTGCCTTGAGTTGGAACCAATTCTGTGGCAGTTGACAGCAACAAAGGGACGGGAGTGGAAGATTCCAAAGAGATTCTTTCTCACTCTGGAAGATCTCTATATAATAATGACTGTTTATTTTTTATCTGACAGTAGCCTCCTACTGGCACCTATCCACCACTCATTAATTATTTCAAACAGCGTTTATGGATGTGCACCTAAGATCTGGATTTACAGAAGTCATTGCCAATTCCAGTTGTCATTGTTCTGGTTATGATGGAGCGTCATGCAACTATTGAGTCATTTAGCCTAAACTAATTATTCACTTGTTCTCTGCTAAGATATATTGCTGGAGACATGGCTATACACAATCCAAACATGACTCTTACCTTGTGGAGCCTATAGTTGGGGAGAGATATTAAGCAAGTATTTATACAAATAATTTTTTAAGTATGTCATTATTATATGCTTGGATATCCGAGCCCAGTATGCAGCGCAAGATAATCTACTTTAGAGTTAGCCTGACTTGGGGAGTGTAGGAAGGCATCCTTGAGGACAGCGGAAAAGCTGAGTGCTGATGGGTATATACATTTTTACTCGGCAGATTTTTTTAAATTATTATTTTATGCTGGTTTATTTGCAAAATTTGTGTACATTGTTTTTCCCACTGAATCATTCCCATTTTTTCATTGCCCCCATCAAATTGTGTGACCCTATGATTAAGACTCCCCGCCCCTTGAATCCTCATACTTGTTCTATAGTAGTGGTCTTATACAATATTTAGCGTTATGGAACTGAGGTAGTTCATTTACCTTAAGTCCCTCCCAAGTTATGAAGTAATTTACAAAATTATTGCTCTTGTGTGCTGTGTGATATTCCATCATTTGAATATACCATAATTTCTTAATTTATTCCATCATGGTTAGACATTAGGCTGTTTCTCTGTTTTTGTGCTGGTGAATAATGTTGCTGTGAACATTGGTGTACAAGGCTCTGTGTCTCAGTTCTCATTTTCTCAGGGTATGTTCCAAGCAGTAGAATAGCTGGAATTTGTGTGTTCAGCTTTTTGAGGAAGCAGCAAACTGTCTTCCAGAATGGCTGTACCATTTTACAATCCCACCAACAATGTATGAGAATTCCTGTCTCGCTTCGTCCTTTCCAACATGTATAAATTGGCAGAATCTAATGCAGTTAGCAGGTTTTATAGTTATAAGCAAAATACTATGAAAACAAAAAAAGTGAGCAAGTAACTCTGCTCTAGGTGAGAAGAGGGTTAGGGAACATTTTTCTAAAGTATGACCTGTTGTGTACCATAGAATCAGAACGGACCTATAACTGACTCTCCAGTGGGTTTTCCGAGGCAAATTAATTGCATCAGGAGATTGCCCATCTTCAAACCACATGTCTTATAGATTGCAGTCCAGTAAGGTAGATTTTAAGATGAGAAAGGATTTCCTAACGGCAAAAATAAGGAATAAAGAATAAACATTCTAACTCATGTGGAGCACATGTGTAAAGACAGAGAAGTTCATACTAGTATTGAAATAATACAAAGTTTATTGTCAACAGAGAAAAGAAGAGGTGTGAATGATTGTAGATTGGGTTGGAGAGATATTTGAAGATTGTATATCCTACTCAAGTGTCAGAATTTTATCCTTTTAATCTGTTAAACAGCAGGGAACCAATGGAGTTTTAAAATGATAGAAATCAAAGTCATTGCCATTAGGAATAAGCTCGTAGTGACCCTCCACTGGGTTTTTGAAGCTGTAAATTGCCTGAGAGAAGACTGCCCATCTTCTCCCATGAAGCAGCTGGTAGGTAAATAGTTAAACTGCCAGGTAAATATGGCCTTTGGATTTGGAACACAACTCCCTACATATTAGGCTACTAGAGCTTTTTAATCATAGAAATTTCTGTTGATGCTGGTTTGTGCCCTCAAATCTGAACCCACCCATGTCTGACCTTCCAGCGGGTTTTCAGAGGTAGTAAATCACATAAGAGGAGAGTGCCCATCTTCTTCACAGAGCAGTTGGTGCATTTGGACCATGTGCCTTTCATGTTACAGCACAGATTCTTACCACCTGACTCCAGTTTAGTTTTGAAGAGAATACTGCTGCTCATGAAGAAAATAGAGACTGGAGAGATGAGTTAAAAGACTGTTAGAATAGTTTAAATGAGAGATGATAGGGGTCTTAATTAAAATAATAGCAGCATGGAAACAGCCCAGATGTCCAACTACAATTGAATGGACTGAGAAGTTATGGTACATTCACACAATATTACTACCTAACTTGGGAGGAACTAGAGAGCATTATGCTGAACTAACTAACTTAATCCCATAAGGACAAATAATGTATAAGACCATTACTGTAGAATGAGCATGAGGCTCTAGGGAGGGGAGGGTCGAAGCAGAGGGCTGAAAGGGGGGAATTAATAAATTTGATGGGTTGGGGGGATTAGGGCAATGGGAAGGAGCTGGTGTGAGAAATAATGTATTCGAATTTTGTAAATAAACTAGTATAATAAAAAAGAAAACAAAATAATGGCAGTAGCGCCAAAGAAGAATGGCCAAATTTGAGTCAGTTCTACAGTCAAGGTGCTATCGTTTAATGACTAGTAGAATGTATGTTGTTATTGTTGTTGCTAGATGCCATCAAGTTGACTGCAACTCATATTGACCCTATGAACAACAGATTTTAATCTTGCCCTTTCTGTGCCATCCTCACAATCTCTGGCTTTGTTATAGTCTCTATGTCAATCCATCTTGTAGGTCTTTCTTTCTTTCTTTGTTTCTTCTCTTCTCTTCTCTTCTCTTCTCTTCTCTTCTCTTCTCTTCTCTTCTCTTCTCTTCTCTTCTCTTCTCTTCTCTTCTCTTCCTCTCTCTCTATCCCTCCCTCCTTCCCTCCTTCTCTCCCTCCCTCCACCTTTTCCAGCATTATGTCTTTTCTTTTTCCAAGGACTGGTCTCTCTTGCTGAAGTATGTTAGATGAAGCATCATCATCTGTGCTCTAAGGAGTACCCTGGTGGTACTTTTTCCAAAACAGATGTTTGTTTTTTTGGCAGTCCCTGGGATATTGAGTACTCTTCTTCAACACCACAATTCAAAGGAATCAATTCTCTGTCATCTTCAATCATGGCCCAACTTTCTGATGCATAGAAAACAATTGAAAACCCATGGCTTGGGTCAGGTGCACCTTTAAACTGACATCCTTTTTTGAGTAGAAAGTAGGAGGATCATTTTATTCCCATTGTGGTTTTCAAGGATTATTTTATCCCAGGATGGTGGTTATATTGACAGGAGTAAAGGGTGAATAAATATTTAACTGTTTCTATGTATGGTAATGATGTTAGGTGTCATTGAGTCAAGTACAGCAACTTCATGAACAACAGACCTGAGCCCTATCTTATCCTGTACCAGCCTCATCAACTCTGACACACCTGAGCCCATTGCTGTAGTCACAGTGTCAATCCATCTCATTTAGGGTCTTCTATGTATAGGATCTGTTTACGTTGCTTGTTTATAAAAGTCGTGACTACATTATTTTTTCTGTATTGCATTAATTTGTGTCCCTTTAATATGTTCCATTATAATAAAGGACTTGATAAGTATCTTGACTAAAAAGTACATTGAAGCCTGAAGGACACTGTGGATTTCTTTGTGATCCTGCAGATCCAGAATGAGGAGAGTGTTGTGCTTTTTCTGGTCGCGTGGACTGTGACAGAGATCACTCGCTATTCCTTCTACACATTCAGTCTTCTCAACCACTTGCCATACTTCATTAAATGGGCCAGGTGGTGATGTCTTGCACTTCTGTTTCTGTCTGCGCATGCTTATTTCATGTATGCTGCACTAACACCAGGGAATGGAATCTGTCTTTTAACCCGACACTAAGACCAGAGATGAATCATATTAATATGTCTCTTGAGTGAAATCAATAGAAGACAAATTACATTCGTTGGCTCTAAATAACTTCTGAAATGGCCATTTGTTTTCCTTTGAAAGCATATTTTTAACTCATTAATTAACTGCCAAATATATGGCATTTTTATCAGATTAATTGAAATTGTTTTAATATTAAATCCATCATCCATGACTTTTACTATCATACACACACACATGCATATACATACATATATACATGTTTCTTTTTAAGTAACAGATGCAGGCTGTTTTTAAAAGTCATATAAAATTGTATTTGGAATGTGGGCAAAATTTATGTTTATGAATTCTAAGCATCTACTATAAAGCAATATTTTTATAAAGTAAATGATACCATTTTAACAGTTTCTTTCCTTTGAGCAGAAAAACAAGACTGCTCTTTTAAGTATTAGATGATTACAACCAGTACACATTTTTTCCCCCACTCTATTTTCTTTGGTGTACTTACAGTAACAACAACAACAACAATAATAATAATAATAATAACAACAACAACAACAACTGTAGTTTCCACTTTATACTCAAGATTCAGTGTTAACAAAGCAGTCTCTGTCTTCATGAAATGGAGATACAGAAAATAAGCTAATAGGTATGTGATGTGTCAGATGGTGAAAAGTCCAAAGAAACAATCAGAGTAAGAGAGAACTATCTCATTTACATAAGTTAAAGAGATTTAAAAATCTGTTCTTTTTTAAAAAAAGGATTATTTTCCCAGTTTCTTCTAAAACCACAAATACACTACATTCACCTTTGTACAAAGTTCAGGCAGTACAAAATTATTTAGGATACCATGCCTAAACCACTGCTTTCTCTGGAGTATACTTTTTAGTTTGTCCACAAACTTTTTTATATTAAAACAATGTCAAAACCTAATGTGAATTTTTTTTAACATAAATTTTGGTTGTTATTAGATGCTGTTGAGTCAAGGATGATTTATACAGATCCTGTGAACAACAAACCTGACCCCTGTCCTACTGTGCCATCATTGGCATCTCTGACAAAGTTGAGCCCATTGCTGCAAATCCATCTCACTGGGCGTCTCCCTGTCTTTTGCTGATCCTCAAGCTTGGGCTTGATGTCCCTTTCCAAGGAATAGCTTCTCCTAGCAACATACCCAAAGTACATGAGATTAAGTATTATCACCTTTCCCTCCAAGGAACACTCTGGCTGTACTTTTTCAGAGACACTGTTTTTGTTTCTATCTTGAAGATTTAAGAACAACTTGCAGTATTATAAATGATGTTATGTCTGTGTTAAATATCTTAATGTTAAGCAAGGCATTTTTGTTACTTTTTAAAATTCTTGGGAGCTCTGGTGGCTTAGTGGCAAGAAGCTGCACTGCAATCCTAGAGGTGCGCAGTTTGAATCCACCAGGTGCTCTGCTGGAGAAGGACGGACAATCTTCTCTTGTACCAGTCAGATCCGATTTGACAGTATATGCACAAAAATAATAAAAAAGAAAAAAAAGAATAAATTCTTATTTAAATGTTTATACATATTTAAATTGTTTGAGGATAATTGTTAAATAGTTTTGGACTTGTTTTAGATATGATAGAAAGGTCTAACATTTTCCCTTAAGATATTCTTCCTTTATTATTCATGTATTTTGCATGTCTAAATAGAGTAAATGAAATTAAAGCACAAAAGAGAAATCTTTACAATTACTCGTAATTCCTAGTATATAAGGATAAAACAGAAAACGTACACTGAGTGCCATTGAGTTAATTCTAAATCATAGCAACCTCCACCAGGTTTCTGAGGCTGTAAATCTTAATGGGAGGAGACTGCCCATCTTTGTCCCAAGGAATAAGTGGTAGGTTCTGTTGAACTGCCGGCATTTTGGTTACTAGCTTAGTAGATACATTAATTGTATGTGTTCTTTCAAATATTTTTTGTATTCGCTAGCTCCACTTTATAGACACTTGTGGATTACCATTTTGCATATAAAATGATTTAAAATTGTAATCAGAGCTTAAACATAGTGTCTCTTTTAGGAATGCCATGCTACATTTATAGATATTTGTTTGGCTTTATTTTTGTTGTTCATGAACAATATACTCACTCAAATTTTAGATAATTGAGCTTTTTAACAAATTGGCAGTATTGAATGTGATTGGATTCTAACCCTTGAGTGCATACCAGTTCCATTTTGCATGCTCACAACTTTAGGAACATTTAGAACTTTTAAAAAATACTAACCATGGTATAGTCTCTTTTTATCTGCTTCTATTTACAGATTTGTTTGAAGGAGATTATGGAGTGCATGTTTACAAGTCTTTTAGACCACAAACATTGGTTTTCAAGGTCTTGTCCATTTACCTTTTGGAATACATTTGCATGTTTTGAATGCTTGGAAAAGGTCAAAACCCTACCACTGTGTATTTGAATTAATTATTTAAAATATGTTTGTCAGTTTCTTTAATGTTAAAACAAGGTATTATTAAGTATTTCAACTTTGGCATGCATACATTAGCATAATACAGCTTCATGAATGGTTCTTTTAAGATATGATGAAGAATTATTATCTCAACAATTCCAGTTATCTCAATGTCTGTGCCAACTCCATTGAATAATCTAAAATAATACTTATTTTCCAATGTTGAAGCTATTTTCAAATAAAAATTCTCTCAAGAAATGGCTTATTTATGAATTGTTTGGCCGAATGTAATAGTTTGATTATACTTAATTCTGTTTACATATTAAAAGTATTCCTGGACAACAAAATAGGATGAGTTGTATTTTCATGTTGATGTCCATTTAAATTTTGAAAATGCATTCTCCCTTGAAAATTTTAAATAATAATTAGGACTCTCCAAAGAAGCAATATATCTTTATCTGAATGTGGCCTATAGTTAAATTCTCCATTCTTAGAATAGCTGTGAGACAGAAATATACAGTTTTTTTAAAGCCCACGTAAATGAAAATAGCTGATTTGTTTCTATATTTTTAGAAAATTTTCACTGTGTTAATGCTTTAAATAAATTTGGTTTAGAAATGATAAATTTATTTCTGTCCATTGAACAACAGTACTGCTAAAAGTAGTTTTTTTTTTTAACTTGACATAATTCTTGAAGTATCTGGTCCCTTGCCAGACTTTGATAGTAGTCACTATTTGTAGGAGTACTATGAAAGTTGGACTGGGAAGATAGTCCATGGGCCATGTAGTTTGGTTAATTTTTTAAACCTTAATTTGAGTGTTTTGAGAATGAAATATAAACTATTCATTTATGTGATTGTTAAAAAGGGAGATAGTAAATGATTGATCTCATTAAATCATACAAAAAGCAAGCTAACAAACAAGCCTACAAAAAAACTGATGAGAGAACAGGGACTATACCTGAGAGGAGAATGAGGGAGGAGAGAAGGGCTGGTATGGGAAAGGGATTCTTTCTTTACTAATTTTCTGTTTGGTTAAATACCTCTACTCTCCTTCCACAGTCTCTTACCCTGAAAATATAGTAATAAGGTGATTTGTAAGTGTCTCCCAGTTCCTGCAGTGTTAATTTGACTTTTCCTTCCAGTTATTTCTTCTTGCCAACAAAATGATTCAATATGAATTCATTTTGTTAATTTTAACTTCATTTTCTGTTGTAGCTTCTGTATAGTGATTGACTTGCTGTAAATGATTTTCTTTGATAGAGAAAAATCATTATTTTTGGTCCTTTAGACTCGTCCTGTTGGAGACAAATAGAGACATGGAGTTTTTCCCCAACTGTAGGCATAATGAATGATGTTAAAATACTTCCCACAGGGCAATGAACAATTATGCTTTTGAAATTTGAATAGCACTTTCTTTCATGTGGTAATTGTTGTCTTAATTGTTTTTTTCTGAAAGCAGTTTTAGACAGTGTACTTAGTAGTTACTGATGTTTTCAGTGATATTACTGGTTTTCTGCAATACTTACATCAGTGTATTTTAATTAGTAACCTGGAAGAGTTAAAAGAACTGTTGTGGTAATATCAAGGTTTAGATAAGCAATTAGAATCATAATTGGTTGTTGAGCACATTATTTGGCCAGTTAGTGACTAGCAGAGAAGCAGTATATTTTAATTCATTGAAGAAATTTTTTTACAGTACTCTCTATATAATTTATAAATGTTTGAAGGTACTATTGCAAAATAAGTCTACTTCTTATTTTATTAAAAGTTCACCATTCAGTGTTAAGATTGCTAAGAGCAAAAAGAAAATTCTAAAATTAGGAAGGAAATTACTTAAGCAGAAAAAAATTAATTTTATGGGAAGGTGTTTTACGTCTATATAGATAGGAACATTTTAAAGTTACTCTATAAATGTATTAAAAGAACCAATGAGGGAGTTTTTCTTTTGCTTTTCAAGGAGAGGAGCAAATGGGAGGGGAGGGGGGAGGGGTTTGTGCGGGGAGAAGGGTGCAACAATGAATGAAATCCCAAAATCTCTGTAGATGTTCATTGAAATGAAAAATAAACAACCTAAATTAAAAAAAGAACCATGCTAGGAAATCCCATAATTATGTTAGAAAAATAATCTATGATATCTTTCTCCAGATACAATTTTTTTATCATCTTATATCCTGTTGGAGTTGCTGGTGAACTTCTTACAATTTACGCTGCATTACCGTATGTGAAGAAATCGGGAATGTTTTCAATAAGACTTCCAAACAAGTACAATGTCTCCTTTGACTACTATTATTTCCTTCTTATCACCATGGCTTCCTATATACCACGTAAGTATATTAGTACTTTGATTTAGTATACTAAAGTTTTGGGTGAGAGAATATAATTGGCTAGTTTCATAAATAAGGAAAAAAATATAACAACTTAAAATCATTCCAGTATCTTAAGCAATCCCACATTTATTTAAAATTTGAAATAACAGAAAGGATACCGTAAGACTTCCATTAAGAAATAAGAGAAAAAGTAAATTACTATACAAATTATGCTTAACCAGAATTACTTAAAAATATGCTCAGTAGGATTTGTTTATATGAGCGTATTTATTTTCTTGTTAAGATTATATACAGCAAAACATCACTTCAGTAGTTTCTGCATGTGCCACTAATTACGTGCTTTATGTAATGAAATGAATCTTCTTTTCTGAGTTGTTCCTCTTCCATTAGCATAATGGATTAGTTAGTAGGGTACCATGCTGTTAAGGAGAAGGCTGAGTGTCTCCAGTGGCTGGGTGGTCTGCTCCAATTAAGACTGACAGCCCAGAAACTTGATGGGGAGTTGCCATAAGTTGGAACCAACTTGTCAGTGAGCTTTTGAGTTTTGAGGAGGTTCTTGTCTCATCTTTCAAGTTGCTTTTGTCAGTTTGATCCCATATAAATCTCTTACGAGCAGAAGTATCTCAAAGGAGAGATTTCTCAGTAATAGTAGCTGAGGACTATTTAGTACGCCTCATCAAATGAGAAAGGAAGCAGTTGTTCATGGAAGCAGTTTCATACACTCTTCAGGAGCCGTATGTTTTGTTGTTAGGTACCGTCAAGTTGACTGTGGCCCATAGCAACCCAGTGAACAACTGAACACTGCCCTGTCCCGCGCCATCCTCACAGTCTCTCACATGATCAGGCACGTTGTTAAAATCACTGTGCAGTCCATCTTGTTGAAGATCTTCCTCTCTTTCTCTGACTCTCCACCTTTCCTAGCATGATTTCTCCTAACAGCATGCCGAAAATGTGTAAGACAGAGTTTCACCATCCTTGCCTCTAAGGAACCTGATTGTACTTGCTCCAAGACAGACTTATTTGTTCTTTTGGCAGTTTATGGGACATTCAGTACTCCTTTCCAACACCACAATTCAAAGGCATCAGTTCTTCTGTCATCTTTATTCATTGTCCAACTTTCAGATGTGAAAAGACAGTGGCTTGGATTAGGTGTACCTCAGTCTTTAAACTGATCTTGTTGTTCTTTAGCACCCTGTAAATTATAACATGTCTTTTGATTTCTTGACTGCTTTTTACCATGGGTGTTGATTTTGGATTTAGGTAAAATGAAATTGTTTGTTTGTTTTTTTTTTAATTTTTTTGGTAAAATGAAATTGTTGACAACTTCAGTCTCTTTTCTATCTATTATGATGTTGTTAATAGTCCAATAGTGAGGATTTTTCTTTCCTTTTAAAAAACATTTTATTGTAAATTTTATAATAAATTTATGTAATTTTACTCATAATTCATTTTTATAATATTCTTAAATCCTCCATAGAGTGTTTCACTGGAAAATTTATTTCTTCTCCAATAAATTTACTAAAAACATACTCAGACTTTATAAAGTGAGGCCTAAAAGAAGTAATTTGAATAGTTTGTGATTGGTTTTGAAAAAAATGTATTGAATTTATAAAATTTCTTGATGTTGAGTTGGAGTCCATATTCAAGGTTATAGCCTTTGATCTTCCGCCACTGGTATTTTGTTGAGCCCTCTTCACTTTCAGCTGATAAGACTGTGTCATCTGCAGAACACAGGATGTTGATGAGTCTTCTTCCTATCCTCATTCTTCCTCTGATCCACATTCTTCTTGATATAGTCCAAATTCTCAAACTGTTTGCTCAGCGTACAGATTTAATAGGTATGGAGAAAGGATAGAACCCTGACACACACTGTTTCTGATTTTAAACTATACAGTGTTCCATTGTTCTTTTGGACAAAAGCTTCTTGGTTTATGTATTGATTTGCATGACCACAGTTAAGTGTTCTAGGATTTCTTTTCAATATTAATCGTACTTCGCATGAATAGTTAATAAAACACAATCATGTTTCTGATATTTTCTACTTTCAGGCAAGATCTACCTGACAGCACCAATGATATCCCTCATTTCATAACCTCTTTTAAATTCAGCTTGAATTTTTGGCAGGTTTGGTTTATTGGGTTTTTTTTTTTATATACTAGTCCAGCTGTTTGTTTTTTATTTATTTTTTTATAATGAATTGTTTACAAAGTTTGAATACATTATTTTTCATATAAGATCCTTCCCATTTCCTTCATTCCCTCCACCATCAAATTGTGCAATCCTATATGATTAATACTACAACCCCCTGTCCTTCATCATCCCTCTGCTTCAACCCTCTCCCCGCTTTGAATCCTCATCCTCATTCTACGATGATGGTTTTATACAGAGTTTGTCCTTGTGGGACTGAGTTAATGCTCTCCAGTCCCTCCATACAAAATCATTGCTTCTTCATGCTGCGTATTATTCCATTGTATGAATGTAGCACAACTTCTCAGTCCATTTGTTGGACATTGGTTGGACATCTGAGCTGTTTCTATGTTCTTGCCATGGTAAATAACACTCCTATGAACATCAGTGTACAAGGCTCCATTTGAACTTCAGTTCTCATTTTCTGAGTCATATGGAATTTCTATGTTCAGCTTTTTGAGGAAGTGCCAAACTGTTCCAGTGTGATTGTACTATTTTACAATCCCACTAGCAATGTATAAGATTATCTCGGCACATCCTCTCCAATGTTTATTATTTGCTGTCCTGTTAAACTTTGCCACTGTTACTGGAGTGAGATGGTATCTCATTGTAGTTTTGATTTAATGCCAGTGATTTGGAGCCTTTCTTCGTGTGTCTTTTGGCCATTTGAATATCATTCTCTGTGGAAATTCTTTCCATGTCCTTTACCCACTTTGTAATTGGTTTATCAGTCTTTTTCTTGTGGAGGACCAAGAGTATTCTATAAACATTTGTTATGAGACCTCTGTCAGAGATGGTATTGCCAAATGTTTGTTCCCAGTTGGTAGGTTTTCTTTTCACTCTGTTGGAAAAAGATTTTGATGTACACAAGGATTTAATCTTTAGAAGGTCCCATTTATCAATTTTATCCCCTCCATATTGTACATTTCTGCCTTTATTTGGCCAGGAATATACCATAGACTTTTACCTTAGACGAGACCTTCTAAGCTTGATCTCAGTTTGTCCTTTATGGACTTCCTGGTTTTGGGCTTTACTCCCAGGTCTCTGATCCACCTTGAGTTGGTTTTTGTGTGTGATGTGAGATGTGGATCCTGTTGGAGCTTTCTGCAGGTAGCAGTCCAGTTTTGCCAACACCATTGTTAAAGAGGTTGTCATTTCCCCATTTGATGGTTTTATTTCCTTGTCGATTATCAACTCACTACAGTTAGCTGGGTCTGTTTCTGGGTTCTCGACTCTGTTCCATTGGTCTATCTGTCTGTCATTGTACCAGTACCAGTTTTGGTTACTAATGCTGTGCAATAGGTCATGGAGTGCTGTACCTCCCCCTTCATTTTTGTTTCTCTGAAGTATTTTACTTATTTGGGGTCTCTTGCCTCTCCAAATAAATTTGACAATTTTCCTTTAGATATCCTTGAAAAATGAATTTGGAATGTATTGGGATTGTGTTAAAAATGTAGATTGCTTTTAATAGGATTGCCATTTTCACAATATTGAGTTTCTATAAACAGGGCACATTTTCCCATTTCTTTAGGTCTTTTATTGTGTCTCGTAGAAATGTTCTGTAGTTTTCTTTGTATAGGTCTCTAGCTGTTTTTGAGTAACATACATCCATCTTGTTCTTATGTGCCCTTGAGTTAAAACCAATTCACAGCTGAACTTCCAGCATGTTTTCAGACAGTAAACTCAATGGGAGGAGATTGCCCATCTTTGGTGGATTCAAACTGCATGCCTTTAGAGCCTTCTCATATTCCTGACTCTCTTTCTTCCTCTATTACATGAATTAATTGTATCATACCTAAAAAAGAAAGTGATCTGTATGCAGGCATTTAAAATTCTGAGTATAAAAATTCTAGGCAAAAAAATTTCACATCATTTCTGTCTATATTCATTAAGAATATATTTGGAATGTTATGGACTATGCCACCAGATCTCCATCTTCCTTAAAATAATTTTAATCAATAATTTTAATTCACTCATTTCATTACTTTCTCATCACTATTCAGTAGTTGTGGCAAGTGGAGGAGATTTTACTGCCTTCATTTACATAATTGATGTTATTTGCCAACAAATTGCACACTAACCCCATGTGGAGAACAGCTCTTTGGGGCTTCCTTGTAGTAATCTTAAACGAGATGAGACTGTCAGGCCTTTTATTTATTTATTTGTTTTAATTTTTAAACTGTGATTTGAGTGAAAACTTAGAGCGCAGACTGGTTTTCTATTCAACCATTCATACAGACTGGATGACGTTGATTACCTTCCCCGCATTGTGACTCTACCCACTTCCTCCCTGTGATTTCTTGTTTCCATTCATCCTACTGCGCTCTCCTGTTCCTTCTGAGCTTTATCTTGGGCGAATGCTGACTTTTGTTCATACGTGGTTGATTCTTCTAAGGAACTGAGTGCCATCCCTGAAATTGTTGTTTAATTTAGCATCTTGACTGTTGTTTGGCTAAAGGTTGAACCATAGGGCAAACCTTTTATTTAATGGCATCAGTGGGTGAGTTCAAATATCCATCCTTTAGCCTTGCAGTTTAGGACAAAGCATTTGTGCCCCTAGCCAATTTTCCTAGACATCATCAGGAAATAGAGTGCATGTGGCACAGTGCTTAAGTAATTTGAATGGACTCCACTACCAACTGCAAGGCTCCAAAGCCAGACTTACCAAGTGGCTCTGTGAGAGAGACATGGCAGGCTGCTTCTGTAAATGTTGTTGTTGTTGTTATATGCCAGTGAGTCACCTGTGACCCATAGTGACCCTATATACAGATCTGAACCCTGCCTTGTCCTGAGCCAGCCTCACTAATTCCCACTTACCAACCCCCATTGCCCCAGTTACTGTATCAGTCTGTAAATATTACAACCTAGAAAATCCTACTCTGTTACAGAGTTCTGCTCTGTAATGCATAGATTGTTGTAAGTTAGAATCAACTTAATGACGCCTTACAACAACAGCAGGAAATTAGAAAAAAGATTGTTATTTACTCTTATAAAAGACTTTGATGTCACTGGGGGGCAAAAGGAAATGAGAGAAGTTTATAGAATCTAAAATTTGCATTAACAGGTGTTAGAAAATACTTCTACCTAACGAGGATAAGCATGAAATTTCATTTGCCCCTTGAGGTCTTCAACGTTCCAGCTTCTCTGAAATTAAAATTAATTTACAGTGTTTTTCTGCCTCATTTTTCCCCATTAAAGCCAGATTCTGTGATCAGATTTTCTCCCAGTGTCAGGTGGAGGTTCAGCAGGGCAGAGGAATGGTAAATAGAAAATATTTGTTGATATTACTTGGTTTCACCAACATTAAGTTAACAGGTAGTTAGGGTGAGTGAGCACTACCAAAACCTATGTCAGTGACTGTCGTTTCATAGTTATGAGTTCAGGCCTTGGGCTCCCTTCTTCTCGTGTCCACTGAGGCAGCACCATAGGCATCCAGAGACTGAAGAACATGGTTCAAAACTCTAAACCAGTAAATTTGACTGCTTTTGGGTCTCTTGAAAGATTTAATCAGTTATCAGCTACTGTGGAGTTGATTCTGACTCATAAAGAGCCTACTGTGACAGAATTCAGACTGTTCTGAGATTTTCAAGTGACTAATTTTTCAGATGTTCATCACTAGACCTTTCTTTTGAGGTGCCTCTGGGAGGACTCAAACCTCCAGCCTTTTGATTAACAGTTGTGTGCACTGGCTGTGTTCTCTACCGGGATTTCTCAGTTCACCATGCAGTTACTCTGAGTCCCATCTGCATACCCCACTGATCCAGTTGATGCTTTTTTAGTCTGTTCTAGAGTGAGGACACCAAAACACAAACAAGCCCATGGCCATGGAGTTGATGCCAGTCAATCACTGTCCTTCATTGAGTTTCTTGGGTTATAAATCTTTACAGGAAAAAACTGCCCTTTCAGATCTTACAAAGCTGGTGGTGGTTCCAAATCACTTGAATAGATTCTTATAAGTTTTCTCATTTAGTACTGAAGAGAGGTAATATTATCACCACTCATTTACTGATGATAATATTACAAATAAGAGAGATTAAATATTAAATGCTTAATAGTCAACCCAGCTAATAAGTGACAAAGCCAGGATTTGAACTCAAGCCCATGCTTTGTACTAAATTCAGGATTTTATAGAAGTATTTTCGCTACTTGGTCAGTTAGTTTGATGTATACATGACTTAAAAACACATAGGATCATAGGTATAGTGTGATGATTGCAAATGAATAGTATCAAAATTGAAAAAAAACTATTGAGTATTTTTACTGTTGTTGTTGTTGTTGTTATGTGCCGTCGAGTCGTTTGTGACTCATAGCAACCCTATGTACAACAGCCCTGAACCGTGCTCTATCCTGTGCCAATCTCATTGCCTCTGACACACGCATCCTGATTACCCCAGTCACTGAATCAATCCACCTCATAGAGGGTCTTCCCCTCCTGTGCTGTCCCTCTACTTTACCCAGCATGATGTCCCTCTCTAAAGACCTGTCTCTCCTTACAACATGTCCAAAGTATGTCAGACGAAGCCCCAGAATCCTTGCCTCCAAGGAGCAGCCAGGTTTAACCCTCTCTAGGATGAATCTGCTTGTTTTCTTGGCAGTCCATGGTACATTCAATACTCTTCTCCAGCACCACAGCTCCTGTACTTGAGCTAAATTAGCTAAGAATAAATTGTTAACAAGAATTGCCAAAATAAGATATTCAAAGATAGTCTTGTGATTCATTTTCTTGTGTTGGTTCTTTCTCATATTCAGATAAATATTTGGGTTGTTTATAAGATGTTTTTCATCCAACTTTTATTAATTGTACTCATGCTATGACTTGAATCATTGGTGCAAAATAATTCTCCAGATTTATGCAGATAACCATTTGTTTACCTGGTTGAATATATATTCATGTGTTTGCATATAACAGACAACTCTTTTTTTTTTTATTAATTTCAATGAACATTTACAGAGATTTTGGATTTCCATTCATTCATTGTTACACTTTTCTTTCTGCCCCCCCACCCCAGTTCACTCTTCTCCTTGAAAAGCAAAAGAAAAACTCCTTCATTGATATATAAGCCCCCCGCACCCCTCAACCTCACCCTGAGTATACTCCACTCTGCAACCCTCATTCCGAACTCTTATGATAATCATAATGCCCTAAAATATATTACTTTTAGACTGTTCTCTCCTTCATCAGCTTCATTGTAGGATACATAATTTATCCAGTTTTTCTCAGTCTTACCCTAACCCTGATGTCAGTCCCATTCTACAGCAGTGGCACTATGCAGTGTTTGTCCTTTTGTGACTGAGATACTTCACTCAGCATAATGTCCTCCAGGGTCACCCATTTTGAATAATAGTGCATGAGTTCCTTGTTTTTCAATGCAGTGTAGTATTCCATTGTGTGACTATACCACAGCTTCTCTATCCATTCGTTTGTTGATGGGCACTTAGGTTGTTTCCAACTCCTTGCTATTGTGAACAAAGCCACGATAAACATGGGTGTGCATATATCTGCTTGGATGTCGGTTATGGATAACAGACTACTCTTAAACCCAGCCAGGAGAACCTTTTGCTCTGTGCCCTCTGTTAGAAGGTTCTAGTCTAGCTCTGCACTGGTCAGCCCTCTACACAGTTTCCTGTCCCTTGCAGGCCATAATTAGAATATTTGGGACAATGGAATTCACCGACTAGTGGACAATGAGCATACATATAGGACCTGTGTAGGTCTTGTACTCAAACTGTTATTCTGAGAACTAACCGTGTCACTAGTATACATACCTCTATGATCACTGCATAGCCATGGGACAGCATGTATGGATGACGCCTGCGTGATGTGTGTACTGGGATTTCATACACAGTTGTTTAAAGCTTTTAATGGTACAAAACATAGTCAACCGAGAGTTTGAATAGACTGTTGAGTCTGTTATGACATACTCTTCTGAAGACTCAAATAATTTAAAATTCAGACATGTCCTATTTGTGTTTGAAAAAAACAGCAATAACTTTTGGCTTTAAAATATTTAGACATGTGACTGGTGGGCCTCGACGTCTGCTCTTAGCCTGGCCAAGAGTTGGAGAGGGAATGTGCTGTTGGCAAACCTTTGCCAAGTTTAACAGGTTTTAGTATCAAGTGTAAGTAATGTAAAGCAATAGCTTATTTTTCTTTGTTTTCCTCTTTTTCCCAATGAAGTGTTTCCACAACTCTATTTTCATATGTTACGTCAAAGAAGAAAGGTGCTCCATGGAGAGGTGATTGTAGAAAAGGATGATTAAATGATCCCTACAAACAAGGTGCTTTTTCCAGAATAACCGCGTTTACTTGAGTCCAACTTTTAATAATAAGAATAAACAACTTCATGAAATGTCGTGGATTGTATTGTTTATTAAAATATAACTTGAAACATGTGGCATTTGCCAATCAGTATTTGTCTTCACATTGTGTCAGATCCATTTTCAACAAGAGATACGCACATTTTACCAGCCTCTGAGCGTATGCCAAGCATTGAGAAAATATTGTGTATATTACCTTAAAATAAATCAGTCTCTGTTAATTTTAGTAAGAAGAAACTTTTTTCCCCAACATACTCAAAACTTTTAAAATCAATATTTTAGAAATTAGTTTAATGATTTACATTTTGGTGCTTTCTAGTGGTACTTATGTGGTGCTTCTCAATGAAAGTAAATGCAACATTTTAATAACTTGTTAATTATATATTGATGTTTCTGAGCCCAAGGTCGACTTTTTAAAAGTTGCACAATAGCATTTATGATTAATAAGGATTTTGGAAGCATGGATTTAGTTTGCAATGGCACGACTTCTGATATGAAGTAGCAGCATAAAAAAAATACTCAAGTAGATGTTACAAAGAGAAGGTAGTTTCTGAAATATATCTAGTTTATTGACACTACTTATGCCACTAAGTAAATTTTATTTTCATTTGCGTTAACCACTCAAGGAAAATATTTTCTATTTTAAGTGTTTAGAAAGAATGTAAGTACATATTTGTCCCCACTCGTTAAAAAAGTACTGGAGTCTGAGAAGATTGTATGGCTGCTTTATATTATGGAATCCTCTTATAAAAATAATGTTAACACTCCCTTTACAGTACTTAGGAAACTTAACAGTTTTAGAATGTGATGTGAAACAGAATAATTTCTTTCTGAATTCTATTATATAGCAAAAGTCTTAAAATAAAACCTCTGTCTACATGTTTGATAAGAAAATACACTGAAGATCCTTTAACACTGCTGTAAATAACAAGTGGGTCTTTGAAAACTTTAGCCTGTGTTAAGTTTTGCTGATTGACGAACCCATTTTAGAGAGAATATGAAATATGTGACTTTAAAAGAAGAGGAACCTTCTTCCTACTCTACATTTGTGGGTGTCATTTGGCTTCAAATATTCTGTATTGTTTACATTTACAATTAACATGTAATTTGACATTTAAAAAACCCCACTTTGTCTTGTATTGCCACCTCCTTTTCAGATATTTTTATGTAAAGATATGTAGTTGAGAATATTTTTCCAATCTCTGTTAATAATTTTATTTTCAAAAGGTGCTGTTTCTCTTATGACATTTTAATATTTCTGCTGTAGCTGAATGCTTCAATGAGCCAGATTGATTAAGTTCCTAATTCTCAAAATGCTTTTGTTCATTCTACTCTTTGATCTACTTGACTAACTTTTCATTTTGATTTTTTTTTTTGTATTGAAGAAATGATCAGGAAGTTTTTCTGATAGTCTAGTAGAAGCAGTTAGTTTTAATGTTGGATATCCTGTGAAAAAAGAGCTTAAATTCTAATAACTAAAATTTTAAATCATTAACTTGTACTCTGTTCAAGAAGCTGTGATACTCTTTTCCCCCCTAACTGTGGAATATCTGGAAGTAGGAAATGTGATTCAATTTAATAAAGATGAAAAAGCATTAAACTATTCACTGACCTATATTAATAAACTGAATTATGTCTAAGTTTTAGATTTAACTTATCTTCAGTACCTTTTACCTTCAACCAGTTCCCAACTGTTACTTGTGTAGAACATTAAGTGCTAAAAATTAGTTTTATTTTCAAGAGAGAAAGTGTTTGAAATGCATTTACACTTGCCTTGCTTAAATCATCTTTTTGGATATTACCCTATGTCACCATTAGTTTTGCTTTCAGTAGGCAAGTCAAGATGTGAGTGACCTAGAGCTTGAATTCAATCTATAGAATTTAACATAGAAAGAAATTTTAGTACTAGCACCTTTAATTTGTATCTGGGTGTATTAACATTTTGGTTCTTAGTTTTTGAATTTTCATTCAGACCTTCATTTCAGATTTATACCTTGAGTGACTAACATATAAGTATATCATTATACTAACTTAAAAGTATTTTCACAGGGTCTTAACTTAATATTAATACAACATCCCAGAGGGTTCTAATTAAGACAATAAAACCATGCTGAAATAAAAATAAATAATCAGGGGAGCTCTGGTGGCCTAGTGGCAAGAAACTGTACTGCAATCCCAGAGGAACACGGTTCGAATCCACCAGATGCTCTGCCGGAGAAGGAGGCGCAATATCCTCCTGTACCAGTCAGATCTGATTTGACGGTACACGCACACAAAATAATAATAATAAAAAAAATTTAAAAAAGGAAAAAAAAATAATCACCAAAAGCTTTTGCAGTTGAACAGCTTTCCATCTTAGAAGCAATAACTTTACAACTTTAGTTTCTTAAGCATCTAGTCTTTATTCTTACTTTATCTTACTATTTCTAGTAATCTTTTACAGTGATATAGAATCTTGTTATAGTACTTTTTTGTTTCCCCAGGTGTAACTTGTTTTGTTTCAATTGTGTGTCAGATACTGTCAAGGGAATTGACATATTCTTCCTATTTTAACACTCTCCAGTCTACACAGTAAACTTTTATCACAATTAATTGGTTAAAGTTGGTTACAACACAAAATATTTATCTGTGCTCTAACAAGACCTAGTTCAGTGGTTTGTTGTTGCTTATGTGTATGTGGCATGTCAGAGAACCACTATACAGATAGTATTCTATTTGAAACTACTTTAAATGAACTCCTAATCAGATATACCCAATGTTTTGATAAAATACAAAGGAAATGTTGAAGGAAAAATTAATACTGAAAAAATTTTTTTCAGATTGTTGTTGTTATGTGCCATCTAGTCACCTGCAACCTGAAGCCTTCCAATCCCTACTGCCCTAGTTACTGTATCAATCCTTTTTATCCAGGGTCTTCCTCTCCTATGCTGTCCCTTCACCCTTTTGAACATGCTGTCCTTTGCTAAGGATCAGTCTCTCCTGGCCACATACCAAAGTATTTAAGGCAGAGCTTCACAATTTCAGCCTCCAGGGAGAAACTTTGTTTCACCCTAATACAGACTGATTTGTTTTCTTGGTGGTCCATGGAAGACTCTTCTCTAGCACCACAACTCAAAGGCAGTAGTTTTGTCATCTTTAGTCATTTCCCAGCTCTCTGATGCATAACATGTAACTGAGAAGACCATAGACTAGATCAGGCACACCTTAGTCTCTAGACTGACACTGTTACTTTTCAATACTCTGGAGAGGTCCCAGAGAGCAGATTTTTCCAGTGCAATTCGTCTTTTGATTTTTTGACTGTTGGTGCCAAGGGAGTTGATCATGGAGCTGAGCAAGTTGTAATTGTTATCAACTTCAATCTCTTCTCCATCGATCATGGTGCTGCCAATTGGCCCAGTGGTGAGAATCTTTATCTTGATATTGAGCTTCAGTCCATATTGAAGACTACAGTTCTTGACCTTCTGCAGCAAGCACTTCAGGTCTGCCTCAGTTTCAGCAAGCACAGTTGTATCATCTGCATAATGATTAGTCTTCCTCCAATCCTAATGCCATGTTCCTCTTCATAAAGCCCAGCCTCCCCTATGATTTGTTCTGCATACAGATTGAAAAGATTTGGAGACAGGATACATCCCTGATGTACAACATTCCTGATTTGGAACCATGCATTGTTTCCTTGCTCTGTTCTGAGTACTGCTCCTGGTCCAAGTATAGGTTTAGCGTAACCACCATCAAGTGTTGTGGGATTCCCATTCTCCTCAAGGTTAACCACAATTTGTTGTGATCCACACGGTTAAATGCCTAGTCAATGAAGCACGGAGAAATCCTCTTCTGGTATTCTGCTTTCTGCCAAAATAAAATTGCACAAATGATAGAAAATAAGAGCATTGAATAAAATTTGAAATTTAAGTTGTTTACATTTTTAAAATATTTCTTTTTATTCCTTTTATTTTTTTAATTTATTTTTCATTTCAATGAACATCTACAAAAATATTTTAAATAGATGTAAATCACTGTCATAGTGATGAAGGTTAAAAATATTCTAATGTTTTTGTGTATTTTGTAGTTCTGCTGTACCCTACAGTCACTGTGAGATGGGATCAACTTGGTAGTAATAGATTTGATGTTTTTTTGAGTGATAGCTTTTTGAAAGAGTTTTTGTAATTTTTTTTTAAGTAATATGAGACTTAGAATAGGAAGAACTCAGACATCTTCACTTGAATTTTTAATTTATTAACATTTTTGGTCTCATCTGTGCACTATGCATTAGTCATAAAATCTTTTGAACTATTTGGGAGTATGTCAAGACGTTAGTTCATAATTCCATCAATATTTATTGAGAACAAGGGTATAGGTACAATACAATTATAAAATCAAGAAATTAGCATTTATGGTATACCATAGTACTGTGGTCATGTTGCTAGGAGAAGGTGTTCTTTGGACAGAGACTCAGACTTGGAAAGGTGGAGGGTCAGCAAAAAGAGGAAGACTCTGACCAAGATAACTAGACACTGCAGCAATGGGCCAATGTGTTAAAAGATAATGAGAAGATCTGCTCATGGGGTTGCTATGACTCTTACTCAATGGTAACAACAAACATAACACACACTCTCTGTCTCTCTCTCTCTCCCCAGTCTCTTTCTCTCTCTCCAGTCTCTTTCTCTCTCTTCAGTCTCTTTTTTCAGTTTCTTTCTCTATTTCTGGGTCAAGATCCAATCCAGGCCAGGTATGAGCTGGTTTGACTTCTTTTTTCAATGATACATCACAGTTATCTTGCAGTTGTGTGCTGTCCAGCTGGAAGCAACCCATAGCTGAGCCTCTCCCGAGTTTTCAGAGGCAGTAAATACCAAGACAGTATATTCGTCATCTTTATTTTGTGGCACGCCTGGTAGATTCAAACGGCACGCCTTTGGGATTGCAGCACAGCTTCTTAACATGATGCCACCAGAGCTCCCTGTTTTTCAGAAAGGCCCTCAATTTGAGTTTGTTTGATCTTTATTTTTTATTATATTTAATCTATGCTTGTTATGCAGGAATATTTGTTTTATTACTAGTGATGTTAACTTTGAAGTTTAAGATTTTCTTTTTACTATTTTGATTGTAAGTTAGCACATAGATATTTTAATAAAAGAAGTCCCTTTGATCTAATTTCTAGGAGTTTGCCTTTGAAATAAAATATTTTGTTTCAAGGGTTTTTTTTTTTTAGTCAAATTAATATGCCTACATTCTGGCACTTGCAGATTGGGGGTGTGTTTGGGGGGCTTTAATTATATAATATATAATTTCCAGGCATGTATTAACTCAGTTTTTATATTGACTTTTATGTCATGGAATATGCTCTCTAAAATTTTGTGGTTAATTAATGCACT